TACAAGATGGAGAGCGTGTACTCCATGCTCAAAGACAAAGACATGGAGCTCTATCTCAAGCTTGTAAGGCCAAAATTTGATGTGTTTGCTCTCTCACTGCTCCATTTTTAATATGTATTTAATTATTTAATATGTATGTACATATTAAATAAAGCCATATATATATATATACCATACACCTAAAAAAAAAAACTTGATTATGTGTATATATTGGTCCAGAATAGGTCAATTTTGAAAAAAGATATTAATTTAAAAACTTCCTTGATCCAAAGAAGCATTTTATATGCTAAGAAATGAGTGTTTCTGCTTTAAATGAACACATTGGAGATGATTTGTGATGTAATATGTGAGTTGTCAGCAAGGTTTGGTAAGTGCTTTATGCACAACCCATTTACCACCGCAATGTTGTGATATGCAAAGACGATTTAAAAAAAAAAAAGTCAATACTAGTATTTCAGGTGTGACTGAATTTCTCATTTTTTATATTAAATGAAAAACATTGCCTTAATGAAGTGATTGATTCCGTTTTCCTCTTTCCTTCCTTCATAGGAGGAGCAGAACATCAAACCGCAGTATTTTACATTCCGCTGGCTGACCCTTTTGTTATCGCAGGAATTCCTTCTTCCAGATGTCATCCGCATCTGGGACACCTTGTTTTCCGACCAGGACCGATTCCATTTCCTTATTCTGGTCTGCTGTGCCATGCTAATGTGAGGCTTGTATATCGGGACTCCAGTCCCACCTCTAGTGCTGACACCTCCCAATTGTTCTGTGAATTATTAAAAAATATATATATATTTTTTTCTGTTGATAGACTCATCCGGAATGACCTACTGGCAGGAGACTTCACAGTTAATATGAGATTATTACAGGTAATTCTTGCAGAATCCACAGTAACCAGCTTCTGATCTTTGTTATCTTGACTTTATTTATTTATATATTTTTGTTGTCTTCTTTTTTCTTTTAGGATTACCCCATCTCCGATGTCCACACGATTCTGACCAAGGCCAAAGATCTGCAGGATAACTCCTAACCTGACCCCTGTGATCCTCAAGCCTTCTCTGCCTCTCCCTGTGGTAGGTCGGAGTTCAAAGGTAAAAAAAAAAGAACAAAAAAAGGTGGATGGACTTGACAATGAAGAACCCGTGCAGATGCATTGGGCAAACCCAGTATACTGCTTTTTAACTCTGTGTCTGAACGTTTGCCCACTGACGACTGCCTTTAAAAACCTGGAGGGAGATCCTGAAATGCTTCCCCATGCATTGTGGGAAAGGCCTCCTCGGTATGTCTTCTTCCTTCTCTCGCAGCCATTTCTCCCGTGGAGACATGTGCTTGGAAATCATGTTTGTACTAATCATCCAAGGGAGAAGGAGCCACAATAATTCTACGCTACCCAGTTTGTTATGAAAACATGCCAGAAATGTTCAATGATGGAGCCAAGATAGGAACAAAACCTCACTGTATCTAGTCGGTCTGAGCAAATACTTTATAGGGTTTAGCAATAGTGCATGTTTTTTTCTTTTTAAGTGTTCTACATTTTTAAAAGTTAAAACCTTTTTTTAAAGTAAGAAACATGTATGCCTTATGTGTTTAATATTGTGAAACAAGACGGTGTTCCAAATATTTTCCGAGAGATGAAATAAATACAAAGTGGTGGGCTTGGCATATTCAGTGTGGCGTTAGTAAAGTCTTTTTCTAATTCTGAAAGTCGTCCAAGAAAAGCCTTGCTGTGTCATTAGATGTAATGTCCACTAATACAACTTCCAGGGTTAAAAAAAAAAAAAAAATAAAAAAAAAAAACGCACAAACCATCGCACAAAGTTGCAAATACAATGCACTCTATGGTTTGATTTTTTTTATTTTATTTAATTTTTAAACGTCATATACATATATTTTCTTCGGCCTTGAAGCTGATAGTCATTTATTAATTTTTAAAGTAGTTTTTCTATAGTTTTTCTAAACATGAAGTATCCTTCTGATCATACTGAAAACACATTCGCTTTGGTTTAGATAAAGACATGTGACATCTTTCATGTCTTACATTGGTCAGTGTTAATTAACTAATTTTTCAACAGATTAAAGTGCATTCCAAGTCAGCTTGGTTTGCCTAACTTGGAGAGGGAAAACGTACATAAATTTAACATGTACACACATACCTAAATGTTAAACTTAATGTAAACTAAACTTAATGTTAATTCTAATGATAAAAGGCGAATTCTCCTAAATCAAATCTATAATCTTTTTATCTGGAAATGCAGTTTGACTGCAGTAAATTTGGTCACAATTTTCAGCGCCTCGACTTGAAAAATTGTAATTTGGACTTGATACTAAAGGATCAATTTGTCATCCTCGCTTTTCTGGGGAGCTGCAGAACCTTATCAGTATGTTATGGAATCAAGTGTTTTAAAAAAAGTTATTTAATTAAAAGGGCAAATCTAATTTGCATTAGAAGGTTATTTGTCTACCATTAGCTGGTAAAGCAAATGTGGGAGGGTTTAGCATGCTTGAAGACCACCGTAGCAATTTTGATTTAACTCCAGATCTTATTAGAATAAGTAAATATCACTTTGGTTGAGCCAGACTATGTCCTCTGAGATTCATCTAGGTGTTGATTTCTTATTCTGTGAGCACAGAATGAATATGATTTCCAGGCCAAGAGATATTTCTGTGTAAAAAATCTTTACTTTTACAACTGACGTTCTAATTTCAATTAACCAGCTATTAAAATGCACTATTCATATAATTTGCAGATTTGCGTGTTGATATTTGTCTAAATTCTGTTTACATTTAGTAAGTAATAATTCTTCCTTTCTTTCAATCGACCAATGAAAGGGTTGTCTTACTGTCTCGACAAATTATTTTTTTCTTTTTTTGGCCAAATGAGTTATGAGTCACTACAGTTACAATCACACAAGGCAAAAACACTTTTCTCGTCCCATGCATCAAAGGGGATTAAGTTGTTGAACGAAGTGCATCAAATGCTTTAAAGCTGTGGCCTGATTGAGAAAATGTTAGACGGTGTAACACTTGTATTTTTCTTTTTGAAGGATTTAAAAAAAAAAAAAAATCCTAAACCTAGTATATCTCCACTTTTGTTCTTTTGTTTTTTGCTCTTGTGATGGTGGTAATCACTTTGAACACTTTAAACCGCTCTTCTATAATAATGATTGTAAGTCTTTCGATATCTTCAGCTGAAATATTCTCAACCAGAAATCAGAAATGAATTATATTACTAAAGTTCTCTGCAGATGTCACTTTGCACTGAAGGGTAGTTTTTGAAGTCAGTACAACTTTTACAACTTTTCGGTGAGGCGTAAAACGTGGTGTTATTTCGATAAATGTCGAGGATACACAAACAAAACCGCAGGCATTTGGTCTTTAAGTGCTTGTACGCTGTTAGTTGGGATGAAATCATGAAAAGACAAACCGCTCCACTTATCGTGGAAAAGAACATGTGAAAGTACTAAATCTAGATGTTTGTAACAGACCAAACAAAAGCCAACATCAGAATAGGAACACTTTTTACTAATTGAATATAATTGCCCGTGTGTGTGTGTGTGTATGTGTGTATATAGAGCTAAACCTGCAATGTAGAAACAGAAGTATAGCAAGCCTGACAGCGGTTCTTTAATTAAGGTGCAGTTACCCAAAAAAGAGTGTGCGGGAGTCAGCACGCGCAGTAACATAGACGCTTTTAGCCATTACTGAGGTGGAACCACGACATTTGTTCATTGGTTATTTGGGATCGTATCAAAATACCCAACTCACCGCAGAAACACTACACATGTGCATTTGTCAATATACATATTTGCATAACTGTAGGTAAAAACCAGATGGAAAAACTAATATATTTGTATGTGTGCGTTTCTGTGTGTACGTATGTAGGTGTGTGTGTGTGTATATGTGTGTGTGTGTGTGTGTGTATATATATATATATACACACACACACACACACACATGAAGGAGGGCAAAAATAGAAAATTGTAAGACTTTTCCCCTGGGAGACATCTGCACTTTTTTTCAGAACATAAACTTTTGGACTTTTGGTTTTCCTGTCTGAAAACCTCTTGTCTGCAGTGAAGACCGCTTCAAGCAGAATTTTATCTTACTTGACATAACTTAAGGAAGGAAAAGAACAAAACAGACGAGTTAGATATCTAAGTGTGTTTTAACTACATCAAACCACTTGCAACCATGTAGAATGTTGCTCCATAGACCAAAACAGACTCCTGAAGGTATTTTGTGTGCAGTGTTTTTCTTTGTTCTTTTGAGGGACTGTTACTAAAACGTCTTCTTTCTCCTATTCTGAATGTGTATTTATTTCTGTCCTGATGGATTTTTGTGTTCGTGGTGAGTGGGGCGGTGGTGTTTGATATTCTATCTTATGTCAGCTATATTTGCATGATTTCAATTTTGTAAGTACATTTTTGTAATGGTCTCCAGTGTTGAAACTTGTATAAATGTTTTTACATGTGCATTAAAATGAACGATTGGTAAATTCCCTTTGTTTGTTTTTATAGAGTAGGTTAAACCTGAACAAAAAGCAAAAATGCTATATAATAGATAGGTTAATTTGTTAAAAATTGGTCTCTTATAGCAGATAACAAGCATGGTGCCTCCATTTTAAACAGAGGGAACCTGAATCTGATGATCAACATCCCAGCCATCAGCGTATATTTAATCTGTAATGGACAAAAAGCAAGATGTGAATCTTTCTTTCTTGTTTAATGTTGGTGAGTAATTCTTTTTCTTTTTTTTCCTTTCTTTTTCTTTTTTTCTCTTCTTTTTTATTTGTATTTTATTTTTTAAAGTAATTCTTTTTCTAAGACTAAAACAAAGATAAATTAAATAGGAAAATGCAGGTGGTTTACAACAGATTTTTTTTTTCTTGTT